GGTGGCCGCCTTCCTGCAAAAATGGTCTTCGTCGGGTGCTCCTCGACTTTGGCCCCTTCAACGAGCAAGTTAGTCGAGTGTTTTTATCTCGATCTTATTTTTCCCTCCCCTTTGGCCTGATGTCGGCCAAGGGTTTTTATACTATCGTGCGAGGATTGGTTGCCCCTCGGTTCGGTGTGGCCGTTGACCTTTGAGGGATGGAACAACTTCTCTGACGAGTTGATGTCTTTGGGGATGCTTGAGCGGCGTCAGACAGCACCGCCCTGAGCTCTCGGGATAGTCATATCGCATAGTGTCTTGGTACGGAACCCGACGTAGCGTACACCATGGGGTTTTGATGGCGTTTGTGCATCGGATTTTGACATTGGTTGGGACGTGGCATGTGATGTCGATGGTGACTCATCTAGGGACCAAAATATGCCTTATCAACTAGCGACCCATCGGCACCAAAACTGGAACCAAGCTTAATCACTCGGCCCCCAGGTTCGATTCTTGCTTGGCTCGCTCCAGATCGCTCCCGACTGGCGACCCGTTGGCATTGAACCAGAACCGAGCTCAATCACTTGGCCCCCAGGATCAATTCGGAATCAAGCTTAATCATTCGGCCCTTAGTTTCGATTCCTGCATGAATCGCTCCAGATCGCTCCCAACTAGCGACCCGTCAGCACTGAAATCAGAACCGAGCTCAATCACTCGGCCCCCGGGATCAATTCGGAATCGAGCTTAATCACTCGACCCCCAAGTTCGATTCTTGCCCGGCTAGCTCCAGATCGCTCCCGACTGACGACCTATCGGCACCGAAACTGGAACCGAGCTCAATCACTCGGCCCCTAGGATCAATTCGGAACGAAGCTTAATCACTCGGCCCCCAGGTTCGATTCCTGCCCGGCTTGCTCCAGATCGCTCCTGATTGGCGACCCATCGGCACCGAAACCGGAACCGAGCTCAATCACTCGGCCCCCAGGATCAATTTAGAACGGAGCTTAACTTAATCACTTGGCCCCCAGGTTCGATTCTTGCCCGGCTCGCTCCAGATCGCTCCCGACTGGTGACTCGTAGGCACCGAAATCGGAACCGAGCTTAATCACTCGGCCCCCCAAGTTTGATTCTTGCCTGGCTCGCTCCAGATCGCTCCCGATTGGCGACCCCTCAGCACCGAAACCGAAACTAAGCTTAATCACTCGGCCCCCAGGATTCGATGCCTACCCGACCCGCTCCAGATCGCTCCCGACTGGCGAGCCGTCAGCACCGAAACCGAAACCGGACTTAATCACTCAGCCCGCCAACCCAACGCTCAGGCCACACCCCGCAACCAATCTTATGCCCGAGTCACATCTCGGTCGATCCAGTGCCCGAATCACCAGCCTAGTCCGTTATCTAAGTCACTCCACATCGACCCCAACTCACTGTCCGTCAAGTCCCAAAAATCGAGTCGCTCCGACTCTCCCGCTATCTTGCAAACTCGGCAGCCGTAACTCCGAACCATACGAAACCCATCATCTGAACTGAGACACGTCGAGTTCCCCGCATAGGTCTCGACTCGCTGGTGTCGGCACTTCGATTTCACCTCGTCAGACCCCCATCGTTCAATTAGTAGGGTCAGTCCTGCTTGAATCGTGGGGCACCGCCCCCCCGACGAGTCAATCCAGCTCCCCGCACGGGCAACCAGCACAATAGCCTCCTTTGGCCCCAGGCGTGCCCCCCTGGTCCATTAGGGACCCAACGACATGCCTTGGAGGGGAGGGGGGGGGGGGGGGGAGGGGGAGAAGTGATAAGACATATTTTGGTTCCCGGATGAGTCACCGCCGACGTCACACGTCACGTCCCAACCAGTGTCAGAATCCGACACCACATGCCATCAGAACCCCGTGATGCACGCCAAGTCGGGTCCTGTACCGAGACACTATACGACACGACTATCCCGAGAGCTCGGGGCGGTGCTGTCTGACACTGCTCAAGCATCCCTAAAGACGTCCCATCCTACAAAGGTCAGCGGCCACACCAAACCAAGGCGTAACCAATCCTCGCACAATAGTATAAAAACCCATGGCCGGCACCCGGCCAATGGGGGAAAAAAATCGAGATTAAAACACTCCATTGACTTGCTCGTCAGAGGGGCCAAAATCGGGGAGCACCCGATTAAGGCCATTTTGCAGGAAGGCGGCCACCCCCGAGCGACGAGCGTCTCAACCCGAGAATCGCCATCCAGTGTATGAGGACGTGTTGCCATTTATCCCAGAGTCGGAGATGTTAGGATCGGAGCGACACTAAGAGGGGGGGGGGGGTTTGAATTAGTGCAGCGGATTAAAACTTGTAAGTTTGAAAACGATTTCGTAAATGCGTAGAGATTTCAATCCGACAATGAATAACTTGGAGAAAGTAGCTCAAGTAAAGTGAAAAGATGAAAACCGAATGCTTGCTGCTATGTAAATAATGGTTTCAAAAAGGTAAATACTCACACATTCAAGGAACACACTAATTTAAAGTGGTTCGGTCAAAATGACCTACATCCACTTGCGAAACCTTCTTCGATGAGGCTCCCAACTTCCACTAGCAAATCACTTTGAAGGGGAAGGACAAATACCCCTCTTACAACCTTTTACAAGTGGTTCACACTCTTACAAATTTTCAAAGAGAAAGAGGGAGGTGAACACTTAAGCTATGGAAAACAAGATTTGCTAAAGACTTTGCTAAGGCTTTATCTCAATCTCTTACTTCTCAAAAGTTGTATTCTCTGCTGAGAATAGAGGGCTATTTATAGACTCCAAGAGGATTCAAATTTGAGCTCCAAATTTTGAATTCCCTTGGGTTCCCGAAGTTGGTGGTGCCACCGTCTGTCAATGTCATATTGATCGTTTACTAGCGTTGCCACCGCCCAGTCCAGTGGTACCACCGCCCGGTCCTTCGGGTTTTGGGCGGTGCCACTGCCCAGTCCGGCGATTCCACCGCCCGATCCTTCGGGTTTTGGGCGGTGCCACCGCTTGGACTATTTTAGCTCATTGGTTGGGCTCCAAATTTGGCCCAAACCAGTCCAAACTCGGGCCCAATTGGTCCCTAACCGGGTTATAGGATTAACCCTTAATCCTAACCCTAATTACATGCAAACTACGAAATTAAGACATAGTCCTAAGCATGTTTTTAATCGGCAATGTCGAGTTCCCTTCCGGCGAGCTTTCCGGCGAACTTCCGGTGGACTTCCGATACACCCTCGGATTTCTTCCGGTGGACTCCCAGCAGGCTCCCGGTCTTGTGGCGAGTTCAGAGAGTCTTTAGCAAGTAGCCGAACCTTCTCGGTGATCTCTGCGAACCTCTAACAATCTCTTCGACAGACTTCCGAAATCTTCGGCAAGTCCTCGATTTCTTCTCGGTTGGTTCTGGCAGCACTTCCGACGAATCTTCGGACTCTCGAACACCCATCGAACTTGACTTCGGTAGACTTGCTTTATGTCTCAAGCTATCGTAGTTAATCCTGCACATGTAAAACAAAACTTCGATTTAGACAATTACTCCTAAGCAATTAATCAAGTTGTTTGGTATGTCATTGGTCCCTCGATGCTTCGTCCGATTCTTCAGCGCATCGTCCTCTCTTGCGGCCTTTCGCCCAATCGGTCAGTTGACTCCGTAACTCCGATATCCTTGGCGCAATACCCGCTCTTCTTGGCCCGATGCCCGAATCCACAGCCCGAAGCCTTCTGTCGATACGTCGACTGTTCCACCGGCCCGATGTCCAATCTTCTGACATGTTCCTTCGGCCCAACATGATTTTTCTGCTTTAAATGTCTCATCCTGATCGAAGCATCCTGCGTCACTAAAAACGTAGATTAAATCATAAACACATATCAAGTGGTTTCATCATCAAAATACGAGATTCAATAAGAGAGACATGACCCATCACAAACGACACCCGGGTCGACAGACCGAGGAACGCTGATCAACATCCTCTCATGAGGGCCCAATCGACCCCGCCAACTCGACTCTTGCCCAAGTCGCTCCGAAACGGCCACCCCCGAGCGGCAAGTATCTCGACCCAAGAGATACCTTCCATCGCACAAGGGAGAGTAGTGAGCCGGCTCAGACCCCGACCCACGCCAACCAACATTCCTTCCCGAGGGTGGCCTGCGGACTTAACTGTGCTGACTCACCAGCCATGATAGTTTTTTTCACTAACACCAACAATTTTTTGGACGATAACTTCCTCTCTAAATTAGATTCGACTCTTCTCACCTCCCATGTCCCGGTGGTGCCCTACAAACAAAGAGGAACATTGTGCACCTGAGATTGGGGCGACTGCACCGCTTGCACGCGAATAGGTTCGCCGTGCGCACGCTTGTACTAGCCTAAGATAATGTCGAATTAGATTAGCATTTGAACATTCAGATAATAACGATTGATAGTTTATTTTTGTTAAATATTAAGTAATAAAGTAATATCATTCATTAAAGGCTTAGTTTTGAAGACTAGCAATCACTCCCAAAAATGATTGTTTGATTCGTTTCCCTGTATTCTGCCTATTGTCTATTACGAAAATTAGGATATTAGTAATGAATTCTAGAGAATCTGCAGCATGAATAATAATAATAGTAAACAAAGCAACTAAAAAGGTTTATAGATTCTTTTGCTCCTACATAATTGTATGGATCAATAAAGATTCCAAACTTTTTACCAACTTTAATAGCTTTCTTACATTTGGATTTTGTATTTCTCCTTTGTTATTCAATTCATATTCTCAATACACATTCACCTAAATATTGTTATCTAAGCGATAAAACAAAGTCCAAAGAAGCATGAATTACAATCCTGAAAAGCACAACAAAAGACAAGTGAGATGAGAAATGCTATCAGCACAAGACCAACACGCCCCAAAACACCCATATATACCAGACTATTTCCACTAGATGTATGGGTGGAACTAGTATGGTCAACCATAACCAGTATGGTTGTGTTAAAGCTAGTCAATCAACTGGTTCTTAAGATCTAACATGTAGCAAAAGCACAAAACAAACCAGCAACTATCAAATGAATTTAAGAAAAACTGAAATAAGTTCTACAAATACCATTTTGTGCGCAAAAAATTGGAAGTTCCATCTGTTGATGCAGAATGACAACCAATATACCTGTTGACTGAACTGGTCAAAAGTAGAACTCTTCAAGAGTTGAACTAAAGATTACAAATACTGAAGAGATTCTGAGACTATTCATCATTTTGCAAGGCAATTCCCAGAGAACACGTCAAAAGATGACTCGTCCAGATCTCTAGGGGCAAAAAAAACCTTTCAATTCTGTATTCCCCTTAAATACCTTCATATTACCGATATAGAAGAATATCTGGCCTGCTGATTGAATAAAGATTTCTCCCATAAAGCAGCTTCAATAAATTATCTGGATTGTAGAGCAAATAATCAACAATCATCTCTCAGAATTTGATGAAACCTTCTGCATGATCATAGCCTCAGCAGCACGAATTGCTTCTGATGATCCAGTTATTGTTACTTTCCTGTATGTATGGTCGCAGAATAATCAGAATCCAAAATCCATGTGGTAAGATGAACTGAGAAGAGGAAACAAATACAAGAGCTTTCTTTACCTATCTGATGTGCCCAAAATGAAATCACCTCTATCTGAAATCTTGATCCTAGCTCCACTAACCTGAAAATCAAGAGCCTTTCATGTTGAAAATTTCCAGCAACTAATTCTTGCATTCGCTAAAAACTTCTGCCAAAAATATGATTTGATGACTAACATCCACTAAAAAGAGCCATGTTAGTACTAAATGCGTAGATAGGAGGACACTACCAATATGCATATACTTCTAAATTAAATCAAATAATTACATAATCTGATTAATTATTTCAGTAGATAGTTTCCTGTCATGTACATAGAAGAATTTCTCTCTCTAGTGCATGAAACATAACAAGTAATAAGAATACTAATTCCCATATTAGAATTCTTGGTTAGATAGCAAGACACCCTTTCTTTCCAAAATGAATATCTTTACCTAGAACTCATATTGAATCATCAAGATATGGACTTTAACTGTATCTTTACATCAAGCATCAATCAGTACCTACCTTTATAATTTCAGCCATTATTACATCATAGCAAAAATCGAAATAGAAACATGGTGTATTTTTTTTCAAACCTGACTTATCTCCATTATGTTCCTCCCCCCTCGACCGACAACAGCACCAATATGCTCATCTGCAATGCCAATTGTTGTCGAGTTACTCTGGTTTTCATGAGACCCACCAGGTGACCGTGATGAAACCAAAGGTGATGCCACACCCTAACATACAATTATCTTGAAGCATTATTAGCAAGGGTGTAGTCAAATACAAACCATCACACAAGGCTTTTTAATGTTGCAACAAACAGAAGGAAACATTATCATGAAAACAGGACCAAAGGTACAATATCAGACACATCAAATAGTGACTGATTACAAGCATGCAACGTTTAACTCTAAGATCACAAGATACCAAATACTACTTTCTGGTAACCAAATCCATAAGACAATAACTTCAGACATGATCAACCAACAGTCAACTACTGACTACTGAGTAGTATTCCAAACCTAGAAAACCACAGAAAGACTTAAAATAATGAGTTAATGTCCACACATAGTGATCGAGCATCAGCTGCTCCAGGGTATAGGATAAGTTAAACATATTTTCTAGGCTACATGTTGCAAAATATCTAGCACAGAGTGCTAAGCTTACATTCTATTTGCTGGCTCCGAGTTAAGTCACAAAGTTTATGTTTGGTTCACCAATCTTTACAGATTTCTGGTGTTTAGGTAATGCACACTTTACTATAGTCCAACTTATATACTGTGCCAAGACCATTTTACCAGATTAACCAGCAATATGGTTAAACAGTGCACTGAAGTGGCAAAATGGAAAGTCAAGAAACACAATATACTGTGAACCGTTTCATCATTTATAATTTTATTAAATTTCATATGTATAACTTTTAGTGTCTAAGCCTTTGTTAAACCAAACTATACCATCAAACTAATTAGTTCCCCAATTCAAAGATCTTTTGGTCTAGCAGGAACCAGAATAGATTTCTAAAGTACACCTCCTGGAAAACTGTGGTCCAGCAACTATAATATGCCCTTTAATTGATTTAATTGTTGACATTCATAATGTATATTTACAAATTGCACCACTTCATTCATCCATGAGTATGCCAAAATAAATACTAAATTTCTGTAAAGTTTTCTTCATTAATTAAGAAAACATTATGGTCCATCACCTGTGATCATCATTATCATTGTCCATATTATGTTGCTTTTTTACATCACACCAACTTCAAAATCTCCAAAAATAATGCATTTGAAACATGATAAAGGCCAACCTGACCAGGGAAATCTTATTCAAACAAGTGTTTTTGATGTCTTTTAAAGTTTCTATATTCTGCTAAAAAACATCTAAGAAAACTAGAAAAGTTACATGGAACTATAACATTAGCCCTGCTGTCAATGTTCTTGTGCCAGTACAGGACCGTTATGGAAGTGTCATGGAAACAGAGGCCCGACTACCAACATGATTGGTACTAGACACATCAAATGGGAGATACTCTTGGCATGCTACTATGTTCTGAACACATATATGTATAACTATCATGAGATGGCACAACCACAATCCCTGAAACCATATTTTGACAATTTATAGCTTATGGTTTATCAAGCAAAATATGAAAACTAATGCTCCTCGATAAAGATCAGTAAACGAAAAAAATACTATGAATGTAATATTTTGTTCTATAAGAAACAGATGATATTCTTACTTTATTACTAAGATATTTTCCTCCAATTCCATTTGCTCCATAACCCACAGGATATGCTACAGAAGGAATCATGTAACTAACGGGAACACCAGGAAAACCAGGAAAGTTAACACCTAAGAATCCAAAATGAGAAAGGAAAGAAAACAAATTAACAATCATATTTAATAATGAATAATATCAAATAATCAACTCTGTTCACATCAGATCAATAGATAAATTGCTCATAGTGAAAAGATAATCGGAAAAATTAACTCTGAAATTATCAGATCAAAAATAAGTTGCTCATAGTGATATGCGCATTGAGCCAGATAAAGCTGCCAGACAAGATTAGAAATGCCACATCAAACTTTAGACGCTATTAACGTGTCACATCACTGTAGGAGCTTCTGCCACATCAACACAATATGTTATCATCACTTCACAAACAGCTGCCAGTGTGTCTAAATGCACCCATGCACTGCTAAAGCAAATGAACAATTTGCAAAATATTCGAGTATTCAAAAGAAATATGCTTTAATCTGCCTCACTTACCCTCACTTTAATAGGACAAACCAATGGCTCCACATGTGGGTCTTGAATGGGACCCATCATATCCTCTCATCATAACGCAAATAGCTAAGATGAGTAAGCCAGAAACAGGTTAAAAACGTACTGCTTACACTATAGAAAGATAAGCACCTCTTGGCTTTTTTGACATAGCAAAGTTCCTACTGACTACCACCAAGTCTTTTACTCATCTAAATTTCAATATTTCACCATGTCATTCAGCTAACACAATACAACCAAACCAGTTCTGGGCCTTATCATCAGAAACAAAAAAACAGAATCAGCTAGAATCAGCTAAATTCAACTGGAATTGGTCTATTTGGCTAACTCTAGCTGATTTGACTACCTAAAAAGAAGAAATTAAAGAGAGGAGAGAAAGAGGTGGAGGCGTCAGATGGCAATCTTCAGCTGAAGTTTTAGATCCACTTTGCAATCTTCATCCAAGTTCAGAAAGAATTGCAAGAGTTCTCTTTGCTCCATGCTTATACATCAAAGTTTGTTGGATCTCTAGCTACAACATTGTTTTCCGTGAGAAACAACAACTACTATAAATCCTTTAGCAATATCACAATACCACTCTAGTGGTATCACAACTAACCATAGAACCTAGATGGATTCCAGTGGTAGCCATCAAGGTACAGAGGGCAAAAAAAAGAAAAACTAGTACACCATAGTTCTTGGATGCTCGAGAACATGGAATAGGAAGCCGTAATAGAGAAAGCACAAGAAAGATAAAGAGACTTCTCAAGCTAATAGGTTATCCGAGATGCAGAATTCAAACATAGATCTAAGATTGCCATTTAGACGGCAAAGGCATCTAATAGAATATACACAAAACAACTAGTGATAACAAAAAATTCTACATAAAGGATGGACTACATAAATATTGGAGATGCACCTGAATATGGATAAGGCGAGTTTAATGTTTGAGGATAGTGAGCATCTTCTATTAATTTTGACAATATAAGAAAAATAGCATGCATTTGCTCCTCAAAAGACCCTGTCAAGGAAACCAGCCTATCATTTAGGCCAGCAATATTATCCTGAGGTGATATCTTAATCCCAGCCTGGGACTCTTCTATAAAAGACCTGCAAAATTGATGACATGTCTCAACTACTTATGTCAACAAACAAAAGGGACACGAAGAAGCACTACGAATAAGTAGTGAATTGTACAATATAATGTAATTCAGATTAATCAACTAAAATAAGGTAAAGAGAAAAAAGTCACTCCTACTAATGCAGAATAGCTTTATGGTTCTTAGCCTATCGCAATCCAGAAGTAACTGTCATACAAAATGACAGTATACAGTTGCAAATATTGTTTAAGATTTTTAATTTATGTTTTCCCCTAATTCCAGGTATCAAGTGTACAACTTCACCTAACTATTAAAGAATATGCTTATAAGACTATACTTTATAGTGGATCCTCCTTTTCCAATTATGGCACCGCATGAGCTATTAGGAACAATGAGCCTCACTTTTGATCTACCTTCAACATCATTACCCTCTTCCACCTGTATGTTAGTAAAGAAAACTTCAGATGAAGTACAATTTTCAATAAAAAATTAGAAATAACATAAAAACTATACCTCATTTAGCAATTTTTCGAGGATCAGTTCCATTGCCTTCATTACTTCACTAAATGCCCCAGAAATCAATATTATTCTATCTGAAGTTCTGGGAAAGACTTCATGATTACGTGATAGCTGAATACGGGCACCAGATTGTGACTGGAATTCAGTAATTGTTAATCCACCCTTCCCGATTATGCACCCAGCTGCAGTGTTTGATACAAGAAATCGTATGTGTGTCTGCTTCTCCTTATCATCTAAGAAAATTGAAGTATTTAATAGATCAGGTTTATGGATCTGAACAAAGAAAAAAAAATATAGTATTTTCCAAGTAAATATAATTGCAAATGGCAAAAGAAAATGTCAAATTTATTCAACATGGTTAAAACTCATGACAATTTAAAAAATAAAAAAAGAGAAAGCAATATAAGAAAAAAGTTAATCCAATCAGCATAAAAAGGGCATACAGATCGTTTTTTCAGACTCTAAATAACATGTGATATATTTTATAAGGTAATAGTTAGCAATTTACTTTCATAAACTCACATATGGCTAGTGAAATCAAGTCACATTGAAATAATAAGTGGTAATCAGCTGAAGATGCTTAAATGATGGATAGCTGATACCTAAATGTCTTACAAGTGTCACAAAATGAAAAAAGTTTCCTTGTCATAAATTTTGCTTATAATAGTTGTTAACTTGAACATCAAAATATTTTTTATCAGTCTCATATGAATGAATCAAATAATGATGAACTTCTATCACTTACAGCCAGTCATTCCTTATTTCATGTCTTTGTCTAATCTTTGTATGCCACATTGACCATCATTGGCCATGTGAAGCCCAAATATATAATACAGCATCATATGTTAGATAAGTTACTTAGCAATATTAATTTAGAATGTTTATGGAGTTCTCTAAAGAAAAAAGAACTTTCATCACGATCTAATCTCACACTAAAGATTTTTCAATTTCATGGTATGTCATCATGATGGTCATGCTGGTAGAATACATCAAGGTTTGATGTATCAACTGAAACAGTATAAAATGAGTGGTACCTACCGTTTAGGCAGCTGATCGATACATTAACCAACCTGTTTCGTGCGGCATGCAAAAAAACTGCTCTAGTATTGGCCAGTATGGGTCGTGTATCAACCAATAAGATCAAGACTTGACCATTGCCAACTAATACGAGTCATTAACGGTCATATTTTGACCAATACTGACCCATAATGAGTCAAATCTGGCCCCAACAGTCAATATTGGTCGATACTCGATTGTAACCAACCGATGCGGGTCGGTAATGATCGGATTTTGACTATTACTGACCCATAAAGGGTCAAATCTGGCCCCATCAGTCAAATTGACTGTTGGGGCCTCTTTTGTGCTCTAATCCTCCTCCCTCCCATCTCTTTCACTCACTCTCACTTTTAAGGCTTTAGATGGACTGTTGAGGTGCCTTGAACACATGTTATTAATGACAATGACGCAACAATGTTTACCACATTGATGCACCAACAGTACATGGTTTATAAATACAATATGTCAAGGGAGCATTTTCAAGATTGGGTCCAATAAACCTATCATATTGACATATAACTTCATAGGATCGAGGACCCCATTCCATCGATCATGGATTCTCAACATTTATTTTGGTGGTAGAAACAAATATATATAATTGTTATCCTGAATTCTTGATAGTTTATTTCGCTCAAACCTTAAAGTTTAAATATCTAATCCAACATCTCAACTCTTTTTTTACAGATAATTCAAGATCAACTGAAGTAGATTCCTTCAACAGTTCCTCGATGCATCTGAAAAGGTAAATCCAATTTTTCTCCTTATAACCTAGATTTTCTATTCATTTATGGCATATATATGCTTTATTCTTATTAAAGTATAATTTATATACTAATAAGGAGAAAAATTCATAAAAAAGGGTTTTTTGAATTTTCAATATTTTCTAGCCTTTTTTCGAAAAACTGATACATACTGGCATATACACTGGCCGACAAGTATATAGACATAGGCTATAGCACTGTAATGTCACGAACGGTCGGCACGCACCCGCAACAACTTCGTTCAACGAACCGTTCGTTGCTTTTGTTTACATATACAGATGCTTGACAACATGTTTTGCCTTGGTTTTGTGTTCTTTTGCTTGTAAAATATGTAAGTTCGAACAGGTTGTGGCGCTACAGTGCAACCGCTCACCGCATCGAGCAAAACAGCCCAAAATGGCTCCGTTTTCGCGTGCCACGGGCTGTTTTCTGCAGCCCGCTGCCGCGCGTGAAACATCAGCCATCTCAGCACTCTGGAACCACCCAGGTGGCACCATGGGGGATGGGACTTCAGTATAGTGTCGGGCGTTGAACAATCTTCACAACTTCGCACGTTTTCTTGACAGGAACTTGCCTTTGCGCCCAGCACCTAGTGAGCAGTTGTTTGTGGACTTGTAGTTGTTCGTTCAACCTTCTAAAGTCCTTGTTTTCCTCATTTCTTTGTTTTCTCTCATGCACTCAAGGTGCTTGCTGAATTGTTTGTAAAGCTTCCCTCTTTGCGAGATGTCGGGACTTGTCCGTCGCTCGTTTTTCGAACTAATCAACTTTCTCTTTTACAGGTCCTTCGGGTCCTGAGTGAAGTTGCAAATTGGTTGACCTTTGCGGACGCATATCGTAAGGGCACGTCAAGACTTAGGCAATCCCAGCTAAGTCCGAGAAGTTGGCACAAGGGTGCTTCGTGACTTAGGCAACTTAAGCTAAGTTCGCGCCTTGGCCGCAAGGGTGCCTTACGACTTAGGCAATTCCAGCTAAGTCCGTGACATTGTGGTATCAGAGCGGGCAAGCAATTCAAGCAAGCAGCGAAGGAACTTTGCAACTTCGCCATGGCAAAGCATCGTGGCGAATCAAGCAAGACAGGGCAAGCCGGACCCTTGCCCCAAGCAGCCGTAGGTGGGCTGCAATTGCATACTCGCTCTTAAACTGTTGGAGTCGCTCAGGAGGATCGCGATAGCGAACATGATAAGCGAGAAGTTGGCTACTCTCCGCGAGCGGAGGAGACGCAATCTGGAGCGCCAACTGGGAAAAGAGCCATAAGGAGAGACTCATAGCGGCGGAAACCCGCTTGGATGTTCTTGAAGCGCACTTGAAGGAACTCTACCATGGCCAACGAAGGCTTCTTGGGGTAGAGAGCTCGTAAGAAGAAGCTGAATCCTGGATCGACAAGGTTGAGGCTCTAGTCGACCAACTGTCAGACGACACTAAGGACTCCATGCAACATCTACATAAAGTCGTGGCAGAACTCACTTCCAGGGTGACCATGCTCACAAGGGCATTGAATGCGGGAGGAAGCAACACCCGCGTTACGCCGCCACAAAACTTGAGGGCACCCGAGCCGCATTGTTCTGGAGGTGCTAGAGATGCTAAAGAGCTCGAGAATTTTCTGTTCGACATGGAACAATACTTTCGAGCTACGAGGCCTGATTCTGAAGAAACCAAAGTTTCGATAGCAACCATATATTTGAATGGGGATGCAAAATTTTGATGGCGAATCCGTTGGGAGGAAATCCAACAAGGTCGACGTCGGGTGGACACATGGGAGGATTTAAAGCGAGAGTTGAGAACTCGGTTTCTGCCTGAGAACACCGAGTTCGTTGCAAGGAGGAAACTAAGACAACTCCGCCAAAGTACTTCTATTCGAGACTACGTGAAGTAATTTTCTGCACTAATGCTGGACATACAAGACATGCCCGAGAAGGATAAGCTATTCAGCTTCTTCGATGGTTTGAAGCCATGGGCTCAACAAGAACTGCATCGAAGGAATGTCATCGATGTGATCGGGGCAATTGCTGTCGCAGAAAGGCTCACCGACTTTGTTTCCTCGGAGGACCCGGGAAAAAGAAAACAATCTTCAGGAAACCGCCCTTCAAAATATTCTCGAGGGAAGGAGCCCGAAGGCGAACAAAGGAAGAAGAGTTCCCACAAAGGGCCAAGCTCAAAAGGCAAGGCCCCGAGACCTGGCGGATGCTTCTTATGTGGAGGGCCGTATATGGTAAGGGAATGCCCATAGAAACAGGCACTCAATGCTTTAACATCTTCCATCCACCCCCCCCAAATCAGACAAGGGCAAAGTTGTCGCCCTCGGTTCAAGCAGTTCAGAATCTAGCAGCGACGATGAGGAGTCGCAAGTTCCCCGAATAGGAGCAATGCGTTTGTTAAATGCATTACGGGGTCAAGTGGAAGAGAACATGAAGGCAAAGCCATCGAAAGCAGGGAGTAACGAGCTGATGTATGTGGACATTAAGCTCAATGGCCAAACAACCCGTGCAATGGTGGATACGGGCACTACCCAAAACTTTATTGTCGATCAAGAAGTAAAGTGACTTAGGCTGATCTTGGAGAAGAACCCAAGTTGAATGAAGGCGGTGAACTTGGAGGCCAAGCGAATCTCCGGGTAGGCAAAGAGAGTTCTCATCAAGATCGAAACGTGGAGCAGGAGTACTAACATGATGGCACTGTTGGTGAACAAATGTTCCGTGACTGATGAGTCAGCATGGCTAGGCCCACCTGCCAACGTCGGGAACCTCTAGCGGAATTATTGAGTTGATGAAGTGGTGGCGCCCTACAAGCGTCTCGGGTGCCGGTTGAGGTGGCAAGGTCGGCCAGAGCCTCGCTACGGGCCAGCACTCCAGAGTCGGCCGATCTGTGCGTTGTTCGTGGGAAGATGCGTCCTCTCGCCCCCTCGAATGGTTGGGGGTCTTCCTTGTGATGTGGAAGCCTCCTGGAGATAGGAGATGCGGGCTGACACTAGTCGGGTCCGACTCGTTAGGTCACCCTCCTCTGCGTACCGGGCACTGTCTTTGGGATGAAGGTATTCGCGACTTGGCGGCGATTGCCTCGCAAAACGACCCTCGTCGGGTAAGTCCCGACTTTGGCCCCTCCGACGAGCAAGTTAGATTCGTCCTGAATCTGCCCTTTTTTTTCCCCTCCCTTCTGGATCAAGTCGGGGGTATTTATACCTGCGTGCGGGAATTGGTCGGGCCCTGGTCCGGCATGGCCGTTGACTCTGGGGGCGGAACAACCTCTCTGACGAGATGGCGTCTTCGGGGGTGCTTGAGCGGCGTCAGATGGCATTGCCCTAACGGTAGACGACACCGCCCCCAGCTCTTGGGGTGGTCAGGCCGCACAGTCGCACCGTTGGAGCTTGACGTGGCGTACACCCTGCGGTTCTGGAGGCGTACTGTGTCGCGTTGGTCTGC